ACAAGGGCACACCCTCCCACGGGCCGCCCAGCTCTGCTTCGGGGGTCACGGTGAGACCCGCTGAGGTTGCTGACATGGTTTCCGCTGGGTGTGGGGACCCGGGACACAGCGCCCTTCAGATACGCCGCCCTCCAAACATGCAATGAGACGTCAGATTATTTAGAGCCGACGCATGGATGGAGCCAGGGGAGGACAGGGTTCTACTGGGAGGCCATCCTGCTGTGTGGACAGGGCAAGCCCAGGGCTGGTCCGCAGGCTACGGGTGGGACAGTCTGCACCCACACTGCAAGCTCGCGGGGCCACAAGGAGGAGCCCACCAGGGCTGGGGGCACCGCAGGGCTCAGCTGAGAGCAGCTTAGACGGCTCTGCTGGGAAGCAGGCAGCAAGCATATCCCTGCAGGAGGCACACAGCTAAGAGCATCCTGTGGAGGGGGGTTCCTGTGCTCTCCCTTGGGCCCCCAGGCACCCACCACACCCCACCCCCGCAGACTCCCGTGGGGCACCCTTGGCTGTGTCCGGACTCCCCCCAAGGCCGTTTGAGACAGAAAACACGCAGAAGAAAAGGGAACTTCAGGAAGCAAGCCAAGCCTCTTGGTTTCAATCCTGTTCTTAGTCTTCCCAGGGCTGCCTGGAGGCTAGGAAGCAGGGCTGTGGGCACAGAGCTCAGCACAAGGAGCCACGTGTGTCTGGGGCCACAGCAGGGAGGAGGTGGGGTGCAGGGGCGAGCATGGCTGCAGGGGAGCGGCTCCCACGGCCCCAACCATGCTGAGTGGGGTCTGCATGGAGCAAAGACAGAGGGATTGAGGTGGGGACAGCAGAACCAGCTACAGGAGCTGAGGAGCACCAGGCCCTCAGGACCCCATGGAAGGACCGGAGCAGGTGAGCCAGCACGGGGGAAGGCAGGCTGCCCGGAGTCCATGGCACCACCCAGGCCAGGGACGAGGGGGGCATGGGAGGGGCTCACCCACACCAACACTGCTGGACGCACCAGACGATGACAAAGGGGGGCCTGGACCGGGACCTTCAAGGACCATGACGGGCATGGTGCGCAGAAGCCTGAGGGCTGCCCTTCACCACCTGTGCTGGGAGCCGGGGGCTGAGCCAGCTTGAGCCACTGCAGGATCAATGCCAACATGCTACAGGAGTCCGGCGGCTGAGGGCCTTGGGCCAAACCTGGGCTCAGGGGACCAGGCAGAGCTTACACAGGTGAGCAGGGGCAGGTGAGAGAGCAGCAGGGGCAGAGGCTGCTGTGGGGCAAGGCGGCATCTGATAAGCTGTGGGGGGAAGGACAGGGCAGCCCTGGTCTGAACCCAGGGCCTAGAGCTGAGGAGCTCCCGGAGCAGGAGGCAGGAGGGTGGCAAGGCCTGGAATTCTACAGCAGCTCAAGGGTGTGGGTTCTGACTGCTCGGTGCTGAAAGCTCTAGGACAAGGGAAGCAGAGGCCAAGGTGGAGAGGGCATGGGGCCTGAGTTGGTAGGACCAGGTCTCAATGTGCACAGGCAAGAGCCTAGAAGGATGGGAGGCCTGGGCTCAGCCACAGGGGCCATAAGATGGGTGGGGGGGCAAGTAGCGTAGCAGCTGGGAGGGGGTGAATGGACAGGGATCCCAGACAGGGAGAGCTACCACCAGGCCAGGAGATCAGGGGAGCCAGGAGAGCTTGTGCAGGTGAACAGGGACAGGTGGGAGAGCAGGAGGGGTAGGGGGCTGCCCCAGGGCTCAGGGGAGCAAACAGAGCTTGTGCAGGTGAGCAAGGGCAGGTGGAGAGCAGGAGGGGAAAGGGGCTGCCCCGGAGCTCAGGGGAGCAGGCAGAGCTTGTGCAGGTGAGCAGGGGCAGGTGGGAGAGCAGGAGGGGTAGGGGGCTCCCTCAGGGGCTCAGGGGAGCAGCAGAGTCTGTGCAGGTGAGCAGGGGCAGGTGGGAGAGCAGGAGGGGAAGGGGGCTGCCCCAGGGGCTCAGGGGAGCAGACAGAGCTTGTGCAGGTGAGCAGGGGCAGGTGGGAGAGCAGAAGGGGAGACGGGCTGCCCCAGGGCTCAGCGGAGCACACAGAACTTGTGCAGGTGAGCAGGGTCAGATGGGAGAGCAGGAGGGGAAGGGGGCTGCCCCAGAGGCTCAGGGGAGCAGGTAGAGTCTGTGCAGGTGAGCAGGGGCAGGTGGGAGAGCAGGAGGGGAAGGGGGCTGCCCCAGGGCTCAGAGGTGCAAACAGAGCTTGTGCAGGTGAGCAAGGGCAGGTGGGAGAGCAGGAGGGGAAGGGGGCTGCCCAGGGGCTCAGGGGAGCAAACAGAGCTTGTGCAGGTGAGCAGGGGCAAGTGGGAGAGCAGGAGGGGAAGGGGGCTGCCCCAGGGGCTCAGGGGAGCAGCAGAGTCTGTGCAGGTGAGCAGGGGCAGGTGGGAGAGCAGGAGGGGAAGGGGGCTGCCCCAGGGGCTCAGGGGAACAGACAGAGCTTGTGCAGGTGAGCAGGAATAGGTGAGAGCAGGAGGGGAAAGGGGCTGCCCCAGGGGCTCAGGGGAGCAGGTAGAGTCTGTGCAGGTGAGCAGGGGCAGGTGGGAGAGCAGGAGGGGAAGGGGGCTGCCCCAGGGGCTCAGGGGAACAGACAGAGCTTGTGCAGGTGAGCAGGAGTAGGTGAGAGCAGGAGGGGAAAGAGAGCCTGTGCAGGTGAGCAGGGGCAGGTGGGAGAGCAGGAGGGGAGAAGGGCTGCCCCAGGGGCTCAGGGGAGCACACAGAGCTTGAGCAGGTGAGCAGGGGCAGTTGGGAGAGCAGGAGGGGAAGGGGGCTGCCCCGGGGCTCAGGGGAGCACACAGAGCTTCTGCAGGTGAGGAGGGGCAAGTGGGAGAGCAGGAGGGGAGACGGGCTGCCCCGGGGCTCAGCGGAGCACACAGAACTTGTGCAGATGAGCAGGGTCAGATGGGAGAGCAGGAGGGGAAGGGGGCTGCCCCAGGGGCTCAGGGGAGCAGGTAGAGTCTGTGCAGGTGAGCAGGGGCAGGTGGGAGAGCAGGAGGGGAAGGGGGCTGCCCCAGGGCTCAGGGGAGCAGCAGAGTCTGTGCAGGTGAGCAGGGGCAAGTGGGAGAGCAGGAGGGGAAGGGGGCTGCCCCAGGGGCTCAGGGGAGCAGACAGAGCTTGTGCAGGTGAGCAGGGTCAGGTGTGAGTGCAGGAGGGATAGGGGGCTGCCCCAGGGGCTCAGGGGAGCAGACAGAGCTTGTGCAGGTGAGCAGGGGCAGGTGGGAGGGCAGGAGGGGAGAGGGGCTGCCCCAGGGCCTCAGGGGAGCAGCAGAGCCTGTGCAGGTGAGCAGGGGCAGGTGGGAGAGCAGGACGGGAAGGGGGCTCCCCCAGGGGCTCAGGGGAGCAGCAGAGTCTGTGCAGGTGAGCAGGGGCAGGTGGGAGAGCAGGAGGGGAGAGGGCTCCCCCAGGGGCTCAGGGGAGCAGCAGAGTCTGTGCAGGTGAGCAGGGGCAGGTGGGAGAGCAGGAGGGGAGAGGGGCTGCCCCAGGGGCTCAGGGGATCAGACAAAGCTTGTGCAGGTGAGCAGGTGGGAGAGCAGGAGGGGAGAGGGGCTGCCCCAGGGCTCAGGGGAGCTGACAGAGTCTGTGCAGGTGAGCAGGGGCAGGTGGGACAGCAGGAGGGGAAGGGGCCTGCCCCAGGGCTCAGGGGAGCAGGCAGAGCTTCTCAGGTAAGCTGGGGCCTGGGACCCAGGAGGGGCAGAGGCTTCCCCAGGAGCTCCTGGGAGGAAGGGCAGGACTGAGCTAGCAGGAGCTCTGGACTAGGTGGGAGCTGAGCAGGTGCAGCCTATACATACAACTGAGGGCTCTGGCCCAGGTGAGCGTCCCTGCACGTGGGGGACAGGGTGAGGGGCTGGCCCGGGGGGACAAGTTAGGGTGGAGACTGGAGCCTGGGTGGGAATGTCTCTGGGGCGGAAGGGTCAGCGGTAGTCACATTTGAGGGGCCGAGGCGGGCCAAGGTCTTTGGTCCAGGGACACGAGCCCTGTTCTGGAGGCTCATGGGGCCGAGGAACAGAAGAGGTGGACATGC